GGAAGGAAGGAAGGAAGGAAGGGAGGGAGGGAGGAAGGAAGTGGGGAAGAGGGGGGAAGGAAGGAAGGAAGGGAGGGCACAACTTCAACCTCAGGGAGGGGCCAGCAGGAGGGCGTGTCATTAAGCCCGACAAGGGATCCCTCCAACCCCCGCAGAGCTGACTGCCCTGCCTGCCCACGGGAGGGCTGGCCCTGTCCTCCCAACTCCCCCCACCCCCCGGCCCCCGGGGCGTCAGATGCGGGCCAGCCTCCAACACAGCGAGCCCTACAGGAGGGAGGGGTCGGCGGGAGGACCCCGTCCCTGGGGCCCAGCGCTGTAAGCGTTTCGACCTCAGGCCCCGGTGGCCACGGCGGAGACCACGGGTCCGGGACAGGCCGGAAGTGCCGGCCCCGGGGACCCGCCAGGGCGGGCCCGTGTGTACCTGTGGAGCCGGTAGCTGCAGGGGCTGGACATGAAGTGGGGGCCCGAGGTCTCGCTGAGGCCGTAGCCCGCGTACAAGGGCATGTTGAGGCCCAGGAAGAAGTGCTGCGTCTCGGCGGTCATGGGGGCCGCCCCGTAGAAGCTCTTCTGACACCTGGCAAAGCCCAGCGCCTGGCGGACCTTGGCGAGCACCAGGTAATCGGCCAGTCTGGCCGTGAAGGGCTTCAGGTCGCTGCGGGGGGGGGGGGGGAGTGGTCCACGGAGGGGCCCCCACGCGCTCACAGGAGCAAGGTGGGGGTTCGGCGGGCGCGCGCTGGCTGGCCGTCGTGAGCGAGCACGCACGCGCGGGTGTGTGCACACAGGTGTGCACTACGTCCTGAGCCCGGGGGCCCAGCGGGCTGGGTGTGCACAGGCGCGAGGACTTGAAGTGCGTCTGCATGGACGCGCGGGGCTACCGCGCGTGATCCCATCTGAGGCCCACAAATGAGTCGTGCACGGATATTCACTCTCCGTGTCTGTGCACACGAAGCCGTATTTGCAGACATGCGTACGCATCTCACGGGACATGATACCGTATTTGCAGACGTGCGTACGCATCTCTCGGGACATGATACCGTATTTG